AGAGAGAGAGAGAGAGAGAGAGAGAGAGAGAGAGAGAGAGAGAGAGAGAGAGAGAGAGAGAGAGCGCTTTTCGAATAGTGGCAAACCTAACAGAGAACACAGACATCCAGTCCTGAACACCCGAACTAAGCGCGGCCACAAAGCTCTCCTCTGCTGTTAGGATTGGATACAGAGCTTCAGACTCACTGAAAGTATGCACTACAAATGCATGAGGATGTGGAACACTGGTTTTTAAAGCATGTTCTGCAGTTTTCCACCACACACTGAAAAGCAGAATTACAGAGTACATCGCTCTTTTTTCTGGCTCTCTAACATGACGTAATAACCGGTCACCCGTCTATAGAGTTATTTAAGAAACTCAGCTTATACATCAACACAGCACATCAAGACTGTCGGCTGTTTGGGGGCGACAGGTAGAAGGGAGCTGTGAGAACATGAACTAACAGCATCGAAGATGTAATTCCCATCCTGCTTCAGGGGCTGTAGAAGGATCGGGGACACTGAAACCTAGGGGCCGATGGAAAGAACTAGGAAGGGCTTCTGATGAGCAGCGCCGCTCTGGCAACCGCTCACAGAGCACACAGCCCACATCTGAACGATGAGTTCCTAAGCAGCTCGCCTCGCGCTCTTCTGCCCTTCACGCGTGGCTGCGAAGACCAGTCAGCACGAATATATTGTTAACTGATTTCTAAAGACTTCAGAGTTCTGCCGCTGGAAAGGTAGCTTCAGGTTATATCCCTAAAACACCCTCGTCAAGCCAGTGCGTAAGCAAAAGCCGACATGATTGTGACCAGCCAATCCTGACATCTAAAAATCAAGGAAAATGTTCCATTAAATATTTTAAAAAACCACTCAGTACATTTATCACAAAGCATTTAAAACGTGTCTTTTTCAGGAAAGTAGGAAGGGCACGCCTGAAGGGGGAGAGGTCAAAAGGTCAAAGGGGGCAAATGGAGGTGATGGGATATTTAAGACACAAAGCCTAAGGGGACCCACTTGTGGCGTGGAAGCAGACAAGGAAGAGGTGGAAGTGGGAGGGGCCCATGATCATGGGCGGAGCAATAACAAAGCGTAATGACGCATATGCACGTCACGTCCTATGACGCATGGGGCGTATTTTTTTGTATTATAACAAAAAAAAATGAACTGGAAATGTTCTCAGGCCAGCAAAGTCACTAAAATAGGTAAAAGCACTTGCCGTCAACTTGAATTAAAGTGCCAGGATTCCTACATGGGGAAGAGAGAACAAACTTCTACGAGCTGTCCTTTGACCCCGCAGCACTCCTGGGCCATGCTCACACTGCAGCATGCGCATGCCCCTTCCCCAAATCAGCAAAATGCCAACGTTTAAAAATAGTTCCTATCACTGTCTTCACAAGGACAGTTATTTAGACACTGGTCCACGCCAATTGGGTCTCTGGAAACCTGTAGAATTTTTCCTCAAACTGCCTGAAGAGTTCAGTGCTCGCTCTAAGTGTCAAACTCCTATTGTAAAAACAAAATAACGAGGCATATAACTGAAAGAACAAAGAATTTTGTAACTTTCTTAAACTACAGTAAAAAAAAAAAAGTAAGGACTGCTCAAACTAATAGTAAAAGCCTGAAGCTCTGGGTGTGGAGAGATGGATCCAGGTTCAATTCTCAGCACGTGGCCACTCAAAATCATCTGTAACTCCAGCCCCAGGAGGTCTGACGCCCTCTTCAGGCCTTCCCAGGCATTGCATGCATGTGGTGCACATACATACAAGCAAAACAGCCATACACATATAATAATTATTTTTTTTTTAAAAATCAAACAGAATGGAACCTACCTTCTTCTGTGGGATTGAAGCCACAGATGTCACAGATACAACGAACCCACTTGTTCATGTCCTCCTCACTGTCTGCCACCAAGTAGAAAATCCGGTCGATGGTGTTGATATCAAAGATGTAGCTGTTTTCAAACTCCTTCTTGTTGAACGTCAGCCCAGCATCAACTTGCTGACACAAGTTTAAATCAATAATCCGGATAGGTTTCTTGGCGTGGTCGTTTTTGTAATACTCCAGGACATCGGGGTCTCCAGTCAGACGGCCACTGCGTAACACAAACCACCGTCTCTTCCATGCCTAGAAACAAGCAAACACCCGCTTGCATCAGGAAGGAACATCCTGTGGTGAGGCACATATTTCATAAAGGCACTGTCTGAAAAAGGCGTAACATCTTGTGTCGGTTCCATAACACAACAAAGGAAGCCAAGTATAAAATCGTTTCGATGAATAATGTTGGGAAAGCGGCATCAGCCGGAGAATGAGGTCAGACGTTACGCTAAGCGAAAGAAGTCGCAGGGCAAACACTGTGACCCTGTGATACGAAGCATGTACAGTTGTTAAATCCAGACAGGCAGTGTTGTGTAGGATAGCGGTTGTGCAGCTGGTTCCAGAAAGGGGAAGAGGAGAAGGTTCGAGAGAAGTGGTCAAAGTGTGTAACAATGTGAATGTATTAACAACACCGAACTGGTTACTCAAAGTCAGTTAAAATGGTAAGTTGCCAGTTATTTTTACCACTTTGAAAAATAGTGGGGTTTCCATATCTTAGTATGTCAAAGAAGGGCTGGAGAAATGGGTTAGTAGGGCAGAGTGTGCTGGGCGAGCATGAGTTCCAAGTTCAGGTCTCCAACACCCATGTAAAAAGCTGGACGTGACCATGCGTGCACCTCTATCCCCGGCTATACAGGGTAGAGGCTAGAAGGCTTGCTGGGGTTTTCTGGCCACCAGCCTAGTGCTGAAGTCAGTGAGAGACCATGTATCAGAGGAATACACACAAGCACACTGTCTCCATCCCTACGCATGAGAGAATATACGTATGGTGCTTCTTCCTAAGATTTTCAACTAGAGAATCTGTTTTCTCAGAGTGAGACAACAGAGGAGGGAGAATGGGCTTGGGTGTTTCCCTGGTTGCTTCCCTGGGGTGCCATTTCTAAATGCATCCTACCTGAGGTTCGACCCGAGAGCTGTACTGCTCAACTGTTGTATTTGTCTTCCTGACACACTTACATCACCAATGCACACACGCAATGCTCAATATTTCCTTTCTCTTTCTCTTTACTGCCATTCCTGAAGAAGGCTGGGGGAGTTGAAGCGATGACTCTATAAGTAATAGCACTGGCTGCTTTTACAGAAGACCCAGGTTCAGTACCAGCACCCACGTGGCAGCTCAAACCATCTATAACTCCAGTTCCAGGTGATCCACCAACCCCTCTTATGGCCTCCGAGGGCACCAGCACACATATGTTGAATATGTACACATGCAGACAAAACACTCACACATAAAATTAAATATATAAATCAAAAAATCTTTTGGAAGAGGCTGCGATTCTTACCGCCACCTTCTCTAAAGACTGTATGGATTAGGTAAAGCAGGACTAGATGGCAGACTGTCTTCTTTGTTAGCTCGGATCCCCTCACATCTGGCTCTGGATCTCAAACCAAGCCTCACTGCTCTGAGTTTTGTTCTCTGGCAGCTAAGCAAGAAAAGGCAGTACCTCTCAGTCCCCTCCTAGGACACATGCACACTCCAGAACAAACCCTGGAGACAGGGTGCCCAAGGATGGCACTCTGCAAACAGGGAGGATGAACCATGCATTTCTGCAGCTCTAGGGGTATCACGTGTAGCCACAGTTATGCTTGGTGTCACAGCGTGTCAATGTTTTGGTTTCGGAAAACTCTACCCACACACACTACACAGATTTTCAGTAATGACTGGGATAAAGTCAGCCCCATGCCCAGTGTTTTCAGAGTTCATCCATCACCCAGTAGGAGTTTGGTTTCCTGTGGTCTCATCAGATCAAGAGTGAGCTTTGTGGCTGTGTTGCTGATGTAAGTTGACCTCCAACTCGAGTATTCCCGTGTCTTCACTAACACCTACAGACGTGTGTTCCCCAAGTACTCCCGCGTCTTCACTAACACCTACAGATGTGTTCCCCAACTCGAGTACTCCCGTGTCTTCACTAACACCTACAGATGTGTGTTCCCCAACTCAAGTATTCCCGCGTCTTCACTAACACTTAGAGGTGTGTGTTCCCCAACTCGAGTACTCCCGTGTCTTCACTAACACCTACAGACGTGTTCCCCAAGTACTCCTGTGTCTTCACTAACACCTACAGATGTGTGTTCCTCTTGTTTAAACCACCAAAAGCAGAATGATGAGCGCTCCGTACCTTCTGTGTATCACATATTTGGCAAATTTAACTAACAGGCACTACAGTACCAACCTAAAAACAGCTTCATTTTATTCTGAAAAATACATGAAAAAAAAGGATAATAACTAATATAATATCCATTTCTCTAGTAGCTGTCTTGGGTTTAGCCTCCACATCAACCATTTCATAATAAATTAAGAAGGAGGAGCTGGGAAAGCACATAAGGGTCTGAGGGGGAAGACATAGGGCCAAGCAACCTACATGGCAGGCGTCATACCGTACTCACAAATGACTCCATCTGGGTGATAACTCTAGGATTAACATGTTAGAAATATTTTAAATTATATCAATTATGTAAATTTTTAAACTGCTTTAAATTGTATCAATTAGGTAAATTAAGAAAAAAAATATCTATGAGTATATCAGTCAGTGAGTTCCTCTAGGCCCCAGAGAGAGTAATTGCCAACAGTGAAGGAAACACTCCACATCCATGCAAACACTTCAGGACATAACAATGCTGGCAAAGCACCCAAAGCAACAGTGATAATGCACAGGCACCCACCTATAGAAAACTATGTGTAATCCTTTGGGGGAAAAACATGCAATTCTTTTCCCCTTTTTTTCTTTTCTTTTCTTTTTGAGATGTTTTCTCTGTGTAGCCCCGGCTGTCCTCAAACTCACTCTATAGACAAAGCTGGTCTTGAACTTAAAGATTCATCTGCCTTTTCCTCCAAAGTGCTGGGATCAAAGGTACCAGCATGCAATTCTTTTTTTTTCCAGATTATTATTTATTTATCATGTATACAGTACTCTGCCTGCAGGTATGCGGGCATGACTGAAGAGGGCACCAGATCTCATTACAGATGGTTGTGAGCCACCAGGTGATTGCTGGGAACTGAACTTGGGACCATCTCTCCAGCCTCCAACATTCAATTAAGTACCAGTATTTGATTTTTCTTTGGTGGAAACAGGATTTCATGTTTTCTAGGCTAGCCCTGAATTCTTGATCTTTCTGAGTTCTGGAATTACAAGCATGTAAACACGTGGTTTATGTGGCACCGAGGACTAAGCCCAGGGCTTCCTGAATGCCAGGCCAGTCCTCTTATCAGCCAAGCTAAATCCCCATCCCTTAACATCAATATTTTAGATGAACTTCCCAAGGGAGTAAAGAATGTGTCCAGAAGAAGGCAGCATGGAGTTCTGTGGATGTTCCAAGTAACAGGAAATCCCAAGGCAACAGAAACACATGAATGTAGCAGTAGATTACAAACATCCACTTATTTAATTCAAATGAACAACAGCCCTCCTAGTCAGGGTGTGATAGTGCAGGCAAGATTCTGCGAGGCTCCGCCCCCACGCAGTAAGCCTGACCCAACAACAGAGAAATAGAAAGGATGAAAACAGTTATTATTATGCAAGGCCATCCCAGGAACCTCTCTCTGCCTAGTGACTTTTCCAGACTGAAGAGGTTCTGTCTTTAAATACAGAAACGACTTTTAAAATTTTAATGGCTTGCAAGGAAATCTTTCTGAAATGCCTTACTACATAATTCATTGAACAGAATTCCCCCATTCCCCAGTGGCTGAGGCAAGGTAGTACAGGCATCTGCTTCTGAACTGCATCTAGGGAGAGGCTGCTGGGCTGTGGAGGGTCACTTGCCCCACATGACCAAGCCCCCTGCTGGGTCTGCACGGTTCACCTGATCTTTTTAAGATGTATGTGCGTGCATGCAGAGGGCAGAGATCAACCTTGGTGTCACCCTCAAACACTGCACACCTTGTTTCTTATGTTTTACTTTTTAGATCTGTCTCACACTGGTCTAGAGCTTGCCAAGGAGTGTAGGCTGTCCAGCCTGTGAACCCCTGTGATCTGCCTCTCTTTTTGTTTCCAGGGTTTGGCTTATAGGCACATCCTACCATGCCCAGCTCTTCTGGATGGGTTCTGAGACCTAACTCCTGTCCAGATGCTCGTATGACAAGTCCCTGCTCATCTAGGCAGCTCCTAGTCCTGCCTACAACCCTACAAGCATCGTCTCTAGCCTTTCTGCCTCACATTGTATCATCTACCACTTCCGTCATCTGTCTTTGAGAGGATAAACTCTTTGCAGATTCTCTATTCAAACATCTATTCTATTCTTCCGCCCCTCAACCTATGCCTTTCCTTCCATGGCCACCTTCAGAGCTCCCAGAGGAAATAAAGTTGTACAGTTTGGGGAATATTAAATGCACTCTATGGCCTCATTAAAATGAGTTCAATGCTTTCCAAATCTCTTGTGGTGTGAGAAAAAGAAATACATGTGAAAAAAACACGTGTAAGATAACTGGTCCAAAACAAGCCAGTGTGGTGGGAAAACCACCACCCAGAGGAGAACGGGCTGGGAGTCTTCCTGTGTGCCTTGGAGACACTTGAAGGATCACATTCTGTATCCTGCTTAATCAGCCTCCCCCATTTGGCCCTTGCTGTCCCCAACATCCAGAAGGCCTTTAGAATCTGCACTGGCCACAGTGGACCAGTGGCCACAGGAGCTGAGCAGACACCAGACAAACATGAACCCCAAAGACAGGAACTGCAGGACTGAAACACGGAACCGAGCCAGGCAGCACCTGCCACTTCTTTATTTATTTTTAACACGGTCCAAATGTGAACGTTTGTCTCGGTCACAAAATGAGTCACTCCCATTGACTCTGGCACCGACGAAATGGGGGGAAACAAAAGCAATTACATAAACGCACACTTTAACAAGGCAGATACAAAGGCTCTCTGGACTGTGGGACAAAGCACAATTTAGTCACAGAATAAAGCTCGATGCTTGACAAGAGCTCTGACATCAGCTCCCTTGCTGATCAGAGCACAAAGGCCTCTCTGTCTTGTCCGAGCACAAAACAGCCTGCATAAGTCACTCTTTGTTATCTGAAAATATCTGGGATT